GCCCCGGTGCGTGAACCTCCACGACGCGCCGTCCCCCTTCTCCTCCGTCTTCGCCGCCGTCTCCACGTACCTGCACATACACGTGCTATATAAACCCACACCGCGATCGTCGGTGCACGACATTACGCGCCGCCAAATTCCCTCGGTAGCACGGTGGCTGGCCTGCTTAGTAGTGCGTAGCGTACCGTGCGGCGTAGTGGACGCCGTCGTCAGGGTGGAAGCGGAAGGAGCGGAGGTAGCCGTGGCCGTCGAGCGGGTGGACGATGGAGCCGTGGTCGTCGGAGAACATGCCGGGCCCGGCGAGGTAGTAGGTGCCGGCCGGGAAGTCCGGCGGGATGGCGCCCTCGGTGACGCGGAGCTGCACGGGGGCGGACGTCTCGGCGCGCTGTGACCGGAAGAGGAGGTTGTAGTCCCAGAACGCCGACGACAGCGTGTCTGGCTCCGTCGCCGTGGCAGCGGTGGCGCCGGCCGTGCCGCGGACGGCGGCGCGGACGAGCCGGCGCGGTGGCGGGGCGTGGAGAGGAGGGTGGTAGCCGTGGTGCACGACGGCGTGCATGGTCGCGATCGCGCATATCGCCATGCTTTGGCGTTGGTCTCTTTCGGTCGCTGGTTACTTGGTTCCTTGTGGTGGTTTGTAGCCTATAATAACGCTCGCTGGTACTTCCGCAACTCACAAGAGTGACAAGTTGCGCCTTTTGGCCTTTGGAAGACTTCATTTTTGTCTCGTCTAATATGTATAATTGCAACGAGCTCACTTTCTTGATGGGAAGAATCGACGTTCAATAGTACTATAAACATCAGATGGTATAGGAGTAGGAGTTTGGAGCGAGCGCCAATGGTTTTGTGAGGCGTTTTGGAGGGTTTTGGGCAGGGAATCGTTGTTATTTCTGGAGTGGAATCCAAGGGGTGTTCGTTGGCACAGTCACGAAATGCGGTTATCCGTTTGCGTCGAACAAATTTGCCAGTGGTGCCTCTGCTTATTCTCCATTGGAACATCACAGTACTGACTGACTAATTAAGGTCGCAATAATCCTGATAAGCACAGAATTTTGGACATCTACACATAAACAAAGAACCACTCGCTGTCGTTGATCAGTTCCACTAGGCTGCTTAAGATCCAGTCCTCCCTACCCTCCTGTCTCGAGCGTATTGGCATCTTCGCTTGAGGAAACTGAACACACACCATTAGCACCAGGCAATACGACGAGACGATTCCCTGCGCCACGTGGCCTCGGAACAGATGCTTAGACCCAAGTTTAATTTGTGAAGAACGTGATACACACTTTGACAAGTGCAAATCTGATGGAATTGCAGCACCGAACGACGTACCAGCCATGGACAGACAGGCACATAGCCCCAAGTGATTTCATAGTAAATGTAAAACTTTACCACCTGCCTCGACTGACCAAAATGAGCAGACCACATGCAATGCAGAGATGAAAAATCAAGGGAAGCTCGAAACGCTCCACAGGTCGGAAGGTAACAAAGACTACAAGTGGTCGACGCATGACACTAGAACAGGCAATAAACAATACCCTAAACACAAAATAAACAATGCTGGTAAACGATGCACGCCAGTATTATTCAGTATCACACAAGAAAAGCAAACAGGCAACATAATGGGGAATAGATTCTGCAGCGACCAGCACAGTGGGCACAGATTTGCTCTTCGTTTTCCCAGCATATCCCTGTCCAACAAATTAGATGCAGCAGCGGAAGAGTTCCGACGAATGCGGTAATTAGATACTGAAAAGAAGGCAGGCACCGTTCCTTTTTAGCTGTGAGTGGAGTTCACTATGCTATGCCCATGACAACATGGTGGTCGAAACCGACGAGAAGAATGAAACCCATCCCAGTCTCCCGCATCCTCATGGCTAGCATAATTGGACCTTGACGTAGCGGTGCTCAATCGAAGTCCTTTTCCCCATCCACTTGGTTTCTGCAGTTCCATCCATCACGCTGCACTTAGCTCTGCGCCTGGGCTGGCGCTTTAAATTTTACAAGAACCTGAAAGAAAAGAAAAGAGTAGGTCAAGGCTTTAGCTTAGAAATTCCTAGAAAGAGTTCCAAGTAGAATGGATATTGCACCCGTGGTTTTAGTTCACATGAAAAAAAAATATAAAGTGAAAGCTGCGAATAAATGAACTTCTTTTATTCTCGACCAACAGTACATCACTGCAAGTTCAGACTGAAATAGGTGAATGCCAGAAAAAAACCATTTTACGACTGAATAACTCCATTTCATGATTTACCAACAAAACCCTATACTTCCATGTCAATAGGTTTAGAATCTTTCTTCCTTCTATGGCATCAGCACCATCATTGTCCCCTTGTCTAGTGCGCGGACAAATAGATACCAGACTGTCAACATGGTCGCACTAATGGTATGCAAGGATGAAAACTCAAAATTTGATGGCATGGAAGGAATAAGGAGTTGCTCTTCTTCTGGCAAATTTTTTTTATTCGGTGGCAAATCAGGGATTGTAGTGTTACTCGGTGGCACAGAAGGAATTCTCAAAAACCAATGTCGATCAGTGGGATGGATCTTTTTTGTAAGATTCAATGCTTACCACCAAAAGGTATCACTAGCAAGC